AATGCAATGAGCCGTTTGATTTCTTGACTGCTGCTTCCATGGGTGTTGATTATAGGATCCAAGTAAAATGAAATCCTTAACAACTTCAAAATTTTCTCCATTTATCATGATGTTGCTTATTGGTCCACTTGTAACAAACTGATGGACAAGTGGTGGTTTATTATTAACAGCCCATGAAGAAAAACCCTGTTGCTGTCAAGTCGATTGCAACTCATAACTATTCTATAGGATGGAGTAGAACTGCCCCATAGGGTTTCCAAGGAGCAACTGGTGGATTCGAATTGCTGACCTTTTGGTTAGCAGTCAAATACTTAACCACTTTGCCACCAGGGCTCCAATCTATCAATACTGAAAATAAATTTTATTTAAATAATAAATATTAATATTTAATAAATAATAGTTTATTTTAATAAATAAATAAATTTTTAGTATGAGTATATCCCATGCAACTTTTAGGATATACTAATAGAAAAAAGATTTATACCTTGGGGATAGCCGGGAACATTCATTCTCTGGAGGCCCAAGTGCGCTGCCTTTCCACACCGTTCCCATTGGCTTGGGGCCCGCCGATCCCAGCAGGCTCCCCCCACCCAGGCTGCCCCTTCCCTGCGCTCTCCCCTCCCCGGCCCGCCTGACCTGTAGTCCTCGCGGGTGGCGATGAGGCTGGACACATTGCGCAGAATGCCGCCGCCACTCTCGATGATGGCCAGCGAGTTGCTCTGGCACTTGTAGGTCAGCGTGCTCACCAGGAAGCCCAGGGCGCCGTCCACCTGGCAGACGGCCGCTTTGTTCTCGGTGCTGTGCGCCGACAGGTTCCACAGGGCGCTGAGCACGCTCTTCAGGGTGGCCTCCTGCGGGCAGGGAGGCGTCAAAGATCCGCAAGCAGAGGCACCCAGACACGTGTCCCAGTAAAAAGCCAAAGTCATTCGTAATAAAACCGGCCACCAAGGGATCTTCGAGCATGTTTCGCCCCCACCCCACCCTGGCCCTTCGCCTGCCTCTCCCTGCCCCATGGCTGGCACTAAACCGCTGCGGTGGCTCCCTCGCCCTCAGGCCTGCGGCAGGGCCCCTGTGCTGCACTCCCCTTCTGCAGTGTCCCTCCCCCCTGCAGTGTCCACCCCTCTCCACAGTGTCCCCGCCCCGTCGGCAGTGACCCCGCCCCATCGGCAGTGACCCCGCCCCCTCAGCACTGCCCCCACCCCCTCAGCATAGCCCCCCCTTCGCAGTGTCCCTGTCCCCTCTGCAGTGTCTCCCCCCCCCCCGTGCCCACCTTGGTGGCCCGAAGGACGCACTGCATGAGGGCCGTCACGCTGCCAACCTCCCGCAGCACCTTCTTGCTGTTGATGTCGGCGCGCCACGACAGGTTCCGCAGGATGCTGGACACCACCTAGGGCCGGGCATGGGCGAGCAGGAGGGCCAGGGGTCACGCGGGCAGAGTGAGACAGAGGGGCCGGGGCTGGACGAAGGGTGAGACCAAAGGGCCGGGGGCCTGGGGCAGGGCTGGCAGGTGGGACCGAGGGGCTGGGCTGGCACCCCATGTGAGCCCCTCCCCCTCCCCCATCAACCCCTGCAAGTGGTGGGACCACAGGGATACCGGAGTTCACCCAGGGCCAGGGTGGGCCTTTGACAATGAGGGTTTCCGGCCTGGACCTCCATGGCCCCTGGTGCCTCTGGGAGTCCCAGCCGTACCTGGTGGAGCTCCTCGCTCTCCGAGCTCAGCTGGGCCACAATGGCCTCCATGCAGCCCCTGCGCGTGCACAGAGTGGCCTGTGGGGGGACACAGGAGGGTCACATCCGCCACAGGAGGGGCGGGGGACATCAGGGGATCCCTCACCTTCCAGCTCCTCCCACATGAGCTGACCACCTACTCCGTGTTGGAGCTAAACCCCAGGCCCCAACCTCACTGCCTCAGGGGAAAGAGGGCAGGCACCCTACTCCTAAGATGAGGAAACCGAGGCTCAGAGAGGTGCAGGCCCAGCCTCTGGGTCCAGAGGACCCCACCTTGACATGACGGGGATTCCCCACAGAAGAGGGCACGAGAGGACGTGCCCCTACCCGGCCCCCTCTGGGCCTCCGTCTACCCATCTATAAACGGGAGATGACCATCCTTGCCACTCAGGGCTCTTCTGAGGCTGGGGTGAGGGCTCGGGAGGCTGGGGTGAGGGCTCGGGAGGCTGGGGCAGTCCCAGGACCCTGCCAGTCACCTTGTTGGCGACGTCCCCGAAGGTGAGGTTGGTGAGGGTCATGCCGGCGTAGCGGCGCAGGGCGAGGTTGAGGGGGTCGCGGGTCATTTTGTGCATCTCAAAGTCCACCTGCAAGAGCTCGGCTACGGCCTGCAGCCCACCTGTGGGGACGAAGGACGGGGTGCAGTGTGGCCAAGAATGTGGCAAGGCAGCAGGCGACCCCACCTTCTCTCCTCCCACCTGGGCCACACCAGTCCTCCTGCTTAGATACCCTTCCCTGCCCTCCACCTTCCCCGCGTCTGCTCTCCTCCAGGTCACCTTCGAAGCCCAACTCCAAGGACACCTCCTCCAGGCAGCCTGCCCTGACCTCTCCCTGCTGCCACCCTTCAGCCCAGAAGGAAACCCTCTCAGGTCTCTCCACCACCCACAGGGTCCACAGGCCCCTGCACAGCCCCCTCAGATGCCTTTCGCCGCACTGCCTCCCTCCAGTGCACACTCCAGTCACATTTCCTCTGGCCACAGGACCTTTGCAGGCACTGCTTCCTCTGCCCAGAACGCCCATCTCGTCCCTGTTGGACAAGGCTCCTGGCTGCCGCTTCAGCGCCCAGCTTGGGAGCCCCTTCCTCAGTGACACCCCCCTAACACCCCAAATGAGGACCACCTCCCACCGTTAAAGACAACACGTTTCTGTTGTTTGAAACACTCGCTTTGTGGTATTTTGTTATAGCAGACACAGAAAGCTAACAGCGCCAAACCCCAAACTTCTCAAGGTCCCCCCAACACGCACGCACACTGCACAGAACCAAAGAAAAAGCAACGGACAGCTCTGCTTCTGTGTGAACTTGGACGTTTCAGCTTTGGTCTCTTGGTTTCCTGCCCACTTCCCTGTTTCCTGAGGCCCAGACAATCACAGCTGAAAGACTGCCCTGGGGGCAGCGTGTGTGCATGGGGACAGAGGGCCAGCAAGACAGTACACTCGTGACACGTGCTGTGTGACCCCAGGGAGTCTCTGTCCCTCTCTGGGCCTCACTGCCAGGCCCCACATGGACAAACACAGACGACCCAGCCCCTGTCCCCACAGAGAGGTGCTGATGGCTGTCCCTGGAGGGCTCCCTGGAGGAGGTGAGGGGGACACTCACCCAGCTCATTCATGGCCCGACGATATTCCTCGTCGAAGGACAGCTTCATGATCGCACAGGTGGCCTGGCAGATCTGTGGCTCAATGGGGACAGGGGCTGTGGACCAGGGGACAGGTCAGAGAAATGTCCCCATGCCCCGCCCCCCCCCCCCCCCCCCCCCAAAAGGCAAGGGCAACCCAAGGCCTTGCAAACCGGGGGCCCCCAAAAAACAAAGGCCCCCGCAACCCCCCGGAAAAAAGGGTAAACTTGGGGCCCGCCTTGCCCCCCCCGCCGGGGAAGGGAAAAACCCGGGGCCGGGGCCCAAAAGCCCTGGGCAGCTCTGAGCCTTTCTCATGGCTTCATTTTGCAATCGGCTGCAAAACGTATGAATTCTCAAAACTTGCACTCACTTTTCATGGATTGCCCACTACCCACCCACCCCTACGTTTCACTAGCATCCGCTCGGCCCCAGGCACAGCCAGGGCAGCCATTGCTGGTGCCAAGTTGTCAGGCAAGGGCCCAAAAGGCCCTGGCGCGCGCGGCCGGGAGAAGGCCGCGGTGACGATGCGCCAGTTGCGCGCCCATTGCGCGGAGGCGGCCCGCAAGGC